CTTGATTTACAGACATGGGCGCAGCTGAGTGGGGGTAAAGGCCCCTAGATGAGTTGCTAGGCATGGTGGGGATAGGGTAGGGTGGGGGGCGACTGAGAAGCAGCTGTGCTGTGGCTGCCCCACCCCCACATGGCCACTTCATCTCCTCCTTACAGCAGTGGGGCTTCATAGACATGATCTCATCCAGTAGTTGAGACCCCTGGGATGTGGACTGGGATGGAAGGGCGGGTGAGTGGCCAATGTTGCCCCTCCTCATTGTATCAAGCAACTAGGAGAAACCAAGGCCAGGCCTGATCAGGTAGAAAAGCCCTTGCATCTGCTCAGCAGGCCTACAGTCTTGTTCTTCAAGAAGTGTGGCCAGTATGAGGAGTTCAGGGGAGCCTGGAAAGTCTGGGAAGAGCTGGTCTTGCAAGTACCCTTCCAGCAATGGGTTTGGGGTCTTTGTTACAGTCTTAACACCCACACCCCGGCCTTGCCCGATCTATAACTCAGGATCCCACACGGACATGAGGGACATGGCCTGGGCTGTCTGCATCCAGAACCTGTGATCCCCTCTGCTCTCTCGCCAAATGCAGTTAATGGCTTCTCCCAGCTACTGAACCGGCAGCTGCCTCCAGTGTGCTGGCGGTCTCTGCTCCTCCGGGGCCACCCCCGCCTGCCGGCAGTGTCCTGGCTGCCTCCCTGTGTGCACTCTACTCTCCATGCTTGCTTGTGTTACTGCTGGCAGGGGAGCCTGTGGGCTCAGGTTTCCAGTGAGTGAGTGGCCCTCCCACCGGGGTCTGTACAGACTGCTCTGGCAGCCGTCCACCGGAGGCTAGCCTTATGCCTGCCTCCAAATGAGGCCTCTGGCTAGACTCAGACTAACCCTTCAGGCCCAGCCCTATCCCACTGGGGCTGCCCAACCTAGGGGCTCACCGGTGATTACTGGGCATGGTTAGGAATGTGTCTCTGTGACTACTGTATACTTGTTGCCCAGGTAAACCTCTAGTGCCATCTCTTGATCTTGGCCTGATGATTCTAAGAGCCACACTGCATCAGAGTGCCCAAGCCAGCAGGAGGTTCCTTGGGAGGAAGGCGGAAGAGGAGCATGTGGAAGAAGCACGGGTCTCTCATGGGGTTAGAGATGGTCCTGGCTGTGGCATGTAAAGGTAGACTCGTTAAGATCCGTATATTCTCGCTAGGGCTAGGGGACAACTGCAGAGAAGCAAGGGCATATTTTTGAAAGACAAGGAGTGCTGGTTATATTGAGTTGTTGGAGGCACAAAACAGGTACCCTATGAGGAGGCTGGCTATGCAGGCCCAGGACTGCCTTGCTGGGACAGGAATCACACTCAGCAATCTTGTGTATGTGGGCAGTCCCTAGAGGTAGGGGAAGTTGTCCATACGGAGTGTTTGGAGATGTCTCGAGTTTGGAGGGCTAGTGAGGGGATAAGCATGTGTTGTGCTTTGGACCCGCCGCCCTACTTAAAGCATTAGCTTTAGCTGAGCTTGATTAGTGAGACTCAGCAAGACCTTTACCTCTAGAGATAAAAGCTCTGCTGAGCCTGTGCCCAACTCCAGTACCTGTGGGAACATCTGGGGTCTCCTGCTTCCAGAAGTGGGGAGAACATTTGATTCTGAGTAGCCCCAGCAGAGGGACAAGCAAGCTGTGCCTCGGGCAGCTATTTTCCTTCTCCCCAGTGTCGTGCACACATCCTAAAGACTCTGGGCCTCAAGGGATGGTCAGTATGGTGGAGGGCATGGTGGACCAGAAGCAGTCTGGTAAGGAAATGGTAGGTTTGGAGGTGGTGCCTGCCTGGCCAACCCCTGCTGGGTCTCATCTGGTTTGGCCTCAGAACAGGAAGACACTGTACTGTCTCCCTCTGTTCTGTTGAACAGGCCTCTAGTGTATGTTTCAGAGCCTGGCATCCCATCTGGAACCTTCTGTTGGGGTCAGTGTGGCATGTGAGGCCAGGCCAGCTGGCTAGTCCTGAGCACTTTGAGAGATAAGACACCCCATGAGGGGGAGGTGGCAGCACAGGAAGGCCATGAGCTCTGAGACAAGAGGGTGGTTGGTGCAGGGGGAGCTGAGCAACAGTGAACACTACCCGCATTGTAATCGGAGAGGGGCCGGGGAAGAGAGAGACTGAGCGAGGCGGCTGACCCCATGCTCCCGGGGGACAGGTGGGAGAGGCAGAACGAGGAGAGAGTGAAGGATTCCAGAGGTGGGCTGGCTTCCTCTCTTGCAGACAGACACGGGAGGGAGGTGGGCAGCGGGCCAGCCCCATACCTGCAGTTCCAAACTCAGGCCATGACAGCTGCAGCCACTTTGGGGAGGGGGAGGGGGAGGGGCCCATCGAGCGGAAAAGTCCCAGCCGACACTGTGTCCGGTGCTGTTGGGGGGGGGGGTTGGGGGAAGGAGATGGGATAGGATGGAGGGATGGATGTGGACCTAACCCACCTCATCTCACTGGCTTTTCCTAGGGGCTCGGTGCCCACCTCCCTGAAAGCATGACGCTTGGGTTTGTCTGTCCTCCACCAGCCTGGCCTGGGGTCTCAGTGCTGGGCCTGACCCAAAGGGGTCACATGTGTTTCCTGGCAGCCTGCAGGTGCTGAGCAGGGTGAGGGCGGCTGGCCTGGGGTGCAGGCAGGCCTGGTTATGAATCATGTGGTGCCGCCAGCAGCTCATTCCCCAGGCTGGGGACAGGGAGCTGACAGCTGAGGCTGAGCCGAATGTTTCCAGCCCAGCTCAGCACGCAAGGGTGGCTGCTGGCCCATGGTGCAGGCCAGCCCCCCCCTCCCAGCTGCCTCTGTGGGGCACACACTAAGGGAGCCCTTGGTTTTTGTCCCACAGCTCCTCAGTGTGGTGGAGGGTGAAGTTGCCCACTGGGAAGGATGCCAGGGGCTGTGGAGGGTTGGGAGCACCTGCCACTCTTTGGCCATAAGCTGTTGTGGACTCACGTGGAGCCACAAGATGGGAATGGACCATGCCACCCCCGGTCTGGTTTGAATCTGGAGCAGTGGAGGGTGACGGAGTGTTCTTCCCGCCCCTCCCCTCCCCTCCTCCTGCTGGCTGTCGGACCAAGCGCTCAGCCACTGCTACCGGTGCAGCTCAGGGAGTGGCAGAGCCGCTTGCCCAGGCCTGAGGCTGGCCAAGCTGCAGCCGCTTTCAGAGTCAGGCCCTGCAGTGGAGGCCTTGGCCGGGCGCGTGCCGCACCCCAACTATCCTGGTCTCTAGAGAGCCTTCCGGCCCCACAGGCCATTCGCTTTCATCTGACCCCTCTTGACACCCAAGCCTCCAGCCCTTGTCTGGTTGACTCTGGCCTACCATTCAGTCTTGTTGAAGCTCAAGCTTGCCCTGCTTTCTCCTGCTTTGCCCTAATCCCTAAATTGACTCTTTCCTCTTCCACTGGCTTCTAGGTCGTGAGATGCCTATTGGAGCTAGCTGGGCATCATTTGGGCCTCTGTAGCCCCACAGTCCCCAACCATGCTTGCTACTCTATTGGCAGCCTCTACGTATGGACAAACTTCCTTACAGTATTCTCCAGTTTGCTCTTTGGGGACTTTCTCTTAGAGTCTCTTGTCTGCATGTTCCTTTGGTTTAGTCCTGACACTGGCCCAGCCACTCTGACCACAGAAGCAGGTACCACTCAATTATTGGTCCTCCCAGAGTTTACCTAAGTATTGAAATGTGAGGCCTACGGGTGGAGAGGCAGTAGAACCATGTCTAGCAGAGAGGAGGGCCAGCAGGGGTCCTTGGGTGGGGCTGGTGCCCATTTGCTGAATACACACATACCCTGCCAGGTTGGGACTCAACCCAGTGTTGTCACAGGGTCCTTGTAGCTTAGGAGTGAAGCTGGGCAGACAGAACCTTGCATGAGGAATATATGAGAAGGGAAGGTGGCTCCCCTCAGCCCCAGCTGCACCTCGAGGTTCTGGCTTCCTGGGCTGCAGAAGGTTCTGCGGTGATGAAGTGTGCCCTCTCTCCCTCCCTCCGAGCAGCTGTGGGCTCCTACAGGATTAAGGGGAGGAAATTTGGGGTTGGGTTTCTTTCTGAACAAAACCTGCCGCTGTGACTCTTTATCCTGTTATATTTCTATCAGATTGGACACAGCCCCCTACCCCTGCCTTAATGGCTCTGGCTTTGAGAATTTCCTCCAAAATTACACTGCTGTTTCCTGCACCGGCGTTCCCTGGAGCCCTTCAGTGCAGAGGAGGGGCCACATTGGCCCTGCCCTGTGAGGATGCCCACATAGGCCTCAACACCTGGTCTCCCCCCAGCCAGGGACCAGGAGGCCTGCCAGTGACAGCACCTGGTGCCCTCTGTCATTCCCCACCCACCACCCAGCCAGAAGTCAGGCTTGGCCTTTCTTCTCTGTTGTACCTCTCAACTAATTGTCACCTGCAGGGTTTTAATGACCGGCCAGCTGCACACAGCGCCTGGTGCAGGTCTAAATCAACCTCAGGGGCCAGAGGGATCTTTGGAAGAGTTGGGTAGGACAGAGTGCAGGATGGCTAGGAGTCTTTCCAGTGTGCAGCTGGAAGCAGAGCAGAAGCCCTGGCAGTCAGTGGACCCCAAGTCTCTCTGGGTTAGGTGGGTATCATTGGGGACATTTGGGTAGCTGCTACTCAGATGGTGTCCTCAGGCCTGTCTAGACCTGGTAGCCTGCTTGGCTGGACAGCACTGCTCACTTACTTCCTATACCCGCTTTTAATGGAGTGCTGCTGGGGAAGCCAAATGTGTGTGAGCATGAGGCCCATCTGGTCCTTCCTCGCTGTGCTCCTGGGAGGAGGCAAGGCTGTTGGCTGCCTCTCATCATGGGCGGTGGGCTTGCCCTCTCCTCTCCACCCTCTCCGCCCTGCCCTATCCCTTTTGCGCCCCCCCACACACACACCACAGACCCCTGTACAAGGCTCTTGATGGGTGATCTAAACCTGTCCTTGCTCTGCCTTACTCTGGGAAGGTGGGTTGAGAAAGCTAGGGTCAGAGAGTTCAGACACTTTCAAGAGGGTAGTCGGCCTCGGATTGGAAGATACTGTTTCATTTTTAATTATACAAAATTTTCAGACTTTATATTATCATATTAAAGACACAAGATGCCAACACTTGGCCCAGGTAGGGAGTCAGCATGGAAAGTTCCAGTGGGCCTGGGTAAGTGTTGGGCTACTTAGAGTCAAGCCATAGCCCGCCTGTCCGTCTGTCTGTTCATAGGCCCTGCTCACAGCTGGGGCAGGTCTGGCCTGGTGAGCATGCTCTTGGGGACCTGTGCTCAGATCAGGTCCAAGGTGGGGCTCTCCGTGACTCTTCAGTGGATCCACCTTCACTAGTGGCATCACCTCTTGGCTGCTGTGGACCCTCCTCCTTCTAACTTCGAATCGCCGTCTTTCTGTCCCGGTCTTTGCTCTGTAGAGGGGATGGGGGTGTGTCAGGGTCTGGATGGAGACCTAGTATCACCCAGCACTGCCTGGACCTTCCTGGCTTCCTGTTGGGGCACTGTCTCAGGTGGCCAGTGCTAGGGCACCCCAGTCCACAGCTCATGCCCCCCCCCCAGTGTATTTTGGGGCGGGGAGTACACTGCTGCACAGCCGAAACTGTAAAATTAAATTTCCCAGATGTTCAGGCCCCAGGAGTTCGTGCGTGCTGTCTGGAGAGGAAATGGGGATTGGGGAAAGCCGTTGTATTTTTTCCTTGCTCACCCTGCTTTTCCGGTGCCACCAAGTGCGGCCAGAGCAGTAAATCATGGCTGGCCAGCATCTCTCAGTTCAGCTTTCAGAACTTTCTCCCCTAAACCGTCCCCTGCAGATCTTCATGGACTAGGGGAGGGGCAGCAGGTGCCCCATGCTTTGGGGTGGAAGTGGGCTGCAGAGGTGGAGGGGCAGTGGCACGTGGACCCCAGGGTGGGGTGGGGGTTCCCTCTCTAATTGCCTTCCTGCTGCACACTACTCCCCTTTGGATGGAGGCTTATGGATATGCTTCTTACTTCCTGAATTCAGCTCCTTTCAGTTCTCAACTTGCTGGAAAGTAACCCTGGAACAGTCCCTCAGCATTGCCAGGGCCCTAACCCTCCCTCCTTCCCTCCTTCCCTCCCTCCCTCCAGACCTTCTGGATGGCCCTTCTCAGTGCTACGTTTTGACCCTATATTTGCAGGTCCCCAAAACCACTGCTAATGGGAATCAGTGTCCCAAGGTGTGGCTCCTATGTGCCCTTCCCTCCTTTGGGCCCAGCTTTGGTGGCAGGTGTAGGCATTAGGGAATGTTGCCTCTGCCTGGCACCTCTGCCTGGCAGGTGTAGGCTGATGAGTAAATCAGGACCCCGTCTGTTCTCCCGACCCTGCTCACCAACTTTCTCTGGTTGCTGAGGCAGAAGGTGCAGATCTGTTTGGGCTGGGTGTTCTCGCCTCCGTCTCGGGCCAAAGGTGGTGGTTGTGGTGGCGGTGGTAGGGGACTGCCCGCACGACCGCTGTGGAAGAAAGGTCCCGAGTGGCATGGTTGCCCGTCGCCGCAGGCCTCACCCACCAGCAGCACGTTGCCCAGGTGAGAAATGTAGCTGGAAGCCAAGCGCAGCGTCTCGATCTTGGAGAGCTTGCGATCTGCTGGCTCAGTGGGGATGAGTGTGCGCAGCGCGGTGAAGGCCGTATTCACGCTGTTGGTGCGGTCCCGCTCACGCGCATTCGCTGTGTGTCTCTGCCGGGGCTCGCGGCCTGGCCGCCCCCCGGGTCCCGGCCCGCTCCCCGCGGCCCTCCGTCCTCCTGCCCGCCGCCGGGCTCCCTGGAGGCCGCAGCGGGCTGCATGCACACGGCAGGGTTTTTCGTCGGAGCCCGCGCTCTCGCTTACGCGGTCCTCATCCTACGACAGCGGGCTCACCTCAGGGTACAGGTAGCGGCCCGGCGGCGCTGAGCGCAGCATGGCGAAGGACATGGGCCGGGCAGGGGGCGCGGCGTCAGCTCCACGGTGCGCTGTTCATGCCGCCTCTTTAGGCCCCCACAGGCCGCCGGGCCAGGGGTCTCCGCTGCGCCCCGCGGTGGCGGCTGCCGGGCGACGCGGGCACATGTGTTCGGACTAGAGTGGGGCCGCCAGCAGAGCAGTGCCTTTATAGCAGTCGGCTCCTCCCCCGCGCCTGGCCGCCGCCTCCCTCCCTGGCCTGGAGGAGTTTATGCAGAGTCTGTGCACCTTTTCTCTTTTAATAGCTGTGCTTAGGGGGTCCTGAGCATCTTTCTAGTTGGGGAGTTTCTGGGGTGCTACTGATGCCCCAAGACCATGGTGCACATTCTACCCAGTCTGCAGGGAGGAAGAAGATAAATCAAGTCAAGAGGCTTTCTTCCTTGGCATGCCTAAGTTCACCCAGCTGCCCTGGCCCTGAGTGCTTCACCACACCCTGTCTGACTCTCCTTCCATGTGCACTTGGGTCTTTTGTTGTGCCAGGCTCTCTCTCTATGTGTGTGTGTGTGTGACTCCAGCAGTGGCAGTCGAGAGGTGTGTGGGGATGGAATGACCTGATTGTATGACCTGTGCTTTGTGCCAGAAACTTAGCCGTTTGACCCATCCTGCCTGGGAAACCCCACCCCCATCCCTGCTGTGCGCTCCATGGGGCTCCTCAATGCCAGTGCACACGTGGATAATAAGGTCTGCACTTCCTCATCCCTCCAATTTGGAAGTGGCCTCCTAGATGGAGAGCACACAGCAAGAGTACAGGGCGTTTTGGGGGATGAACTTGTTGGAAAGGGCTGGTGGTATGGACAGGTGCAATGGGACAGGGCCCAAGGGGTCTTGCTAAGGGACTGTTGGCACTCAGCTGTGCTAGTTATGTCTGGGCCCCTCCTCCTTGTGGCTACTGTTGCAGGAAGTGGCCGCCTGGGCAGCAGTCCTCAGGCTGGGAGGAGTGAGGGTGGTGGCTGGCAGGGGCTGAAACCAGGAATGTGTGTCCAGGAATGTGGCTGCTCTGCCCACTAAAGTGGGAGGGGGAAGACCAGTAGTGCTAGAAGGGGGTCCTTGGTCACCTGCTGAGCAAAACGGAGGTTTGTCTCCCCATGGGTGGGGTGGGGTCTTCCCATGGTTCCTGCCTTGTAACTACCCACTTCTGCCTAAGGCTTCTGCCAGGGGAGGGAGCCCATAGGCGATGAGGTCATCCCTGTCTGTGGCTGCCCAGAGCCCTGGCCAAGGAATCCAGTAAGGGGGGAGGCTAGGGTTGGCATCACTTCAGTGGAAAATGTGAAGGTAAAACTCTGGCGCCTCAAAGGGCTTGGGGGGAGGGGGCATAGAACCCCTGCCATGCCACGTCAGACCTTGGGGCCAGGGATAGGGCAGATTTTGGGTCACCTGGCCTCTAGGCACTTGAGGCTCTCTAGGGTCTGTCCTTGGGTAGCTTGAAGAGGGTTAAGTGTGGTAGGGGCAGGTGCTGACGTGGTGGCTATGCTACAGGACATTCGGAACACTGTGGGCAATGTGCCTCTGGCATGGTACGATGACTTCCCACATGTGGGCTATGACCTGGATGGCAAACGTATCTACAAGCCCCTGCGGACACGAGATGAGCTGGACCAGTTTCTGGACAAAATGGATGACCCGGATTTCTGGTGAGTTGGGCCTCGGGGTCAGAACCTGTGTGGTACCTTAGGCCTGGAGTATGGTCTGACTGGCTTTCCCTCAGGCGCACTGTGCAGGATAAGATGACAGGGCGTGATCTGCGGCTGAGTGATGAACAGGTGGCCCTGGTACAGCGGCTTCAGAGAGGCCAGTTTGGAGATTTGGGCTTTAACCCATATGAGGTAGGTAACAACTGGCCGTAGGTTATGAAGTACATGCAGCTCCCCAGCCTAACATCTATGCTTGTCTCCCTAGCCAGCCGTGGATTTCTTCAGTGGTGACATCATGATCCACCCTGTGACCAACCGGCCAGCTGACAAGCGTAGTTTCATTCCATCCCTAATTGAAAAGGAGAAGGTGGGGACCCCCTTGTCTCCCTCTACCCCTCATGTAAGGTTCCCGTGCTGCCAGTTGACCTAGCTTTGTGTGCAGGTGTCTCGCATGGTGCACGCCATCAAGATGGGTTGGATCAAGCCTCGACGGCCCCAGGACCCCACCCCTAGCTTCTATGACCTGTGGGCCCAGGAGGATCCGAATGCCGTGCTGGGGCGCCACAAGATGCACGTGCCTGCACCCAAGCTGGCCTTGCCTGGCCACGCTGAGTCTTACAACCCACCTCCTGAGTACCTGCCCACCGAGGAGGAGGTAGGCCTGCACCGAGATGGGCATGGTCCCCAGCCATGTTTCCTGATCCTTTCTCACCTGTGTCCTGTCTCCCCAGCGCTTGGCATGGATGCAGCAGGAGCCTTGTGAGAGGAAGCTTAACTTCCTGCCACAAAAGTTTCCCAGCCTGAGGACAGTGCCTGCTTATGGCCGCTTCATCCAGGAGCGTTTTGAGCGCTGCCTTGACTTGTATCTGTGCCCACGGCAACGCAAGATGAGGGTATGTTAAGCAGCCCACTTGGGTCCTGGGGAAGTGTAGGATGGAGGTAGTGACTAAGTGTTCTCTCACCCCAGGTGAATGTGGACCCTGAAGACCTCATCCCCAAGCTTCCTCGGCCAAGAGACCTTCAGCCTTTCCCTGTGTGCCAGGCCCTTGTAAGTGGGCAATCAGGTGGGCAGATGCCCTCAGGGGTGTGCGTGTCTGTCTTCACTTTTCCTTCTCTGTAGGTCTACAGGGGCCACAGTGACCTTGTCCGCTGCCTCAGTGTCTCCCCAGGGGGCCAGTGGCTGGCTTCAGGTGGGCCTGAGGTGGGAGCTGCCCTGAGCTGGGAGGCAGGGATCTGGGTGAGAGGCTCAGATACTGAGAGCCTTCACTGCCACATCCAGGTTCGGACGATGGCTCATTGAGGCTCTGGGAAGTGGCCACTGCCCGCTGTATGAGGACTGTGCTTGTTGGGGGTGTGGTCCGGAGCATTGCCTGGAACCCCAATCCTGCCATATGCCTAATAGCTGCAGCCATGTGAGTCTAGGACACTGTGGGTGGAGTTGGGAAGGGGCACAGCCAAGTGGGGACTATGCTGAGGAGGGCTGTGTCTGTCCCTGGCTTGTAGGGACGATGCAGTGCTGCTTCTGAACCCCGCCCTGGGAGACCGGCTGCTGGTGGGCAGCACAGACCAGCTGCTGGATGCCTTCACTCCACCTGAAGAGCCAACATTGCAGCCAGCCCGCTGGCTAGAGGCCTCCGAGGAAGAACGCCAGGGGGGCTTGCGACTACGTATCTGCCACAGCAAGGTATGTGGTGGGAAGGGGAGGGGAACGTGCCAGACCTGGTCAGGTAATCAGCTGGCATTGCTCTTCTCTAGCCTGTGACACAGGTGACCTGGCATGGGCGAGGGGACTACCTGGCTGTGGTGCTGTCTAGCCCAGGACACACTCAGGTGCTGATCCACCAGCTGAGCAGGAGGCGCAGCCAGAGCCCATTCCGCCGCAGCCATGGACAGGTGCAGTGCGTGGCTTTCCACCCCACCCGGCCCTTCCTGCTTGTGGCCTCTCAGCGAAGTGTCCGCATTTACCACCTGCTGCGCCAAGAGCTTACCAAGAAGCTGATGCCCAACTGCAAGTGGGTATCTAGCCTAGCTGTACACCCAGCAGGTGAGGAGACCATGTACTCTCCAAGTCAGGGTCGGGAATGAAGGAACCCTCTAAGTCTTGTGAGAAATACTGTCACTGCCTCTGGCCCTAGGTGACAACATCATCTGTGGCAGCTATGACAGCAAACTGGTGTGGTTTGACCTGGATCTTTCCACCAAGCCATATAAAGTGCTAAGGTAAGGTGGGTAGGAGTGAAGTAGGGAGTAGGGACCCTTTAGCTGGAGCCCAACTGTCAATGCACTCTTCTGCAGGCATCACAAGAAAGCCTTACGGGCTGTGGCCTTCCACCCCCGATACCCACTCTTTGCATCTGGCTCAGATGACGGTAGTGTTATTGTCTGCCATGGCATGGTGTACAAGTGAGTGTTAACCCTTGCCCAGCCCTCCCCATGGGACCATCCCACTGGGCACTGAATCCCTCTCTTCCACAGTGACCTGCTGCAGAACCCACTGCTGGTACCCGTCAAGGTGCTTAAGGGGCACACACTGACCCGAGATCTGGGTGTTCTGGATGTGGCCTTCCACCCCACACAGCCATGGATCTTCTCCTCTGGGGCAGATGGTACCATCCGACTCTTCAGCTAGGCTGATGCACTATTGTGGGCGGCCTGGAACAGGGTGGGTGTGCCTATACAGACTCAATAGAATCCTTGATTCCCATTGTTCTGGCCTTCTTGATTGGGCCACCCACTCCCACCCTGGCACCCTGAGAACTGTTCACCCAAGACCAGGGGACCTCAGGATTCCCTTTTAGTTTAAGCCAGAAGGAAGAGTGGTATTGATATGCTTGTCACCTACTGAGGTGTAAGTGGCTTTATTGGGCAATAAATTGGGGCACCACAGTCTTGGCCCTGTATGTGATGGCAGCAGAGTCCTCTAGGCAGGACAAGCTGGTACATTGCTTGCAGGAGTACAGTCAGCCTCAGGCAAACTTCACCAGACGGCCCAGCGTCTCAGCCGCTTTCTCCCGCACCTCAGGCACTGGGTCTTTCAGGAGGAGCTGCAGGGCTGTGGGCAGAGAAAGGAACAGACCAGTTGTACACATGCTTGGGCCTGTTTGTGGGGCCGCCCACTGCCTTCTTAACAGACGGGCCTCTGCTGGGAGGGCTCGGGAGCCAACGGAAAGATAGTTTTTCCTTTTTTAGTGTTTTTTAAGCTCTTTTGGAACAGTTAAGAAGTTTCCGTGAATTACTAGAGACGATGAGGTCACCAATGACAGGGGAAAAAAAATCCTGAAATCCAGGAAAATCACTTAGTCCCTTCGGGTGCCTACAGGGTCAGCAAAGCCCCAACAGAGATGGGGACATGTGTCCTGG